GACCACCAAGTGTTCACCCCCAGTATTAATTAGAAAGTCAATGTCCTTGCCCCCAATCCTTACTCGACCATGGACTTTCCGGGGGTGGCTGAGTCCGGTCCTCTTCAGTCTAGCAGAGCCTCTCCCACTAAATTATAGAGGGCTCCGTGCTCTTCCGGTTCTGTGACCTCTTTCCCAGGATTTTTCACACTTCCTTGCCTCTGGGGACACTTATTCTTCCAATGCCCTGTCTCTTGGCCCATTGTACACTGATCCCTTCGCAAGAGGGGCCTTTTACCTTAGGCTAATTTTTGTATTTTTTGTAGAAAATGGGTCTTGCTCTTGTTCAGGCTTTTCTTGAACTCATGGCCTCAAGCAATCCACCCACCTGGGCCTCCCAGAGTATTAGCTCATTCCTGCCAGCTTCTGAGCATCTATATTTAGATAAATTGATGGTCTGTTCCAGTGGTTCCTGTTCTATAACACTCCAGGTTCTAAAGGAAATATTCTGGTTTTATGGGATACCAATGCAGGACTGTAAATGATTTATCCTAAGCCTATTATTGTTAATTCATTTTCCTTCCTTCCTTCCTTCCTCCCACCCTCCATCCCTCCCTTCCTACCTTCATTTTTTCTTTCTCTTATCTCCCCTCCCCATCCCCCACCCTTCTCCCTCCCCTCTCTCCTTCACCCCTCCCCTTCCACCCTTTTTCTTTCTTTCTTTCTTTCTTTTTTTTTCTAACAAGAGTCTTACTCTGTTGTCCTGGGTAGAGTAGTGTGAAGTGGTGTCATAGCTCAGAGCAACCTCAAACTCTTGTGCTCAAGGGATCCTCTTCCTTAGCCTCCCAAGTAGCTGCAACTACAGGCGCCCACCACAACACTGAGCCAGTTTTTCTATTTTTAGTAGAGATGGGAGTCTTGCTCTTTCTCAGGCTGATCTCAAACTCCTGCACTCAAGCTATCAAGTAATCCAACCATCTCAGCCTCCCGGAGTGCTAGTATTTCAGGTGTGAGCCACCAGTGGTCCCTGCCTTCATTTACCATTCATGAAATGTTTTACACTTGTTGCATTTGGCCTTTTTATATATATTTGTCATTCTCCTTCTGTATTTCACATGTTCTTTAGGTCTCCTGTGCCTGTTGCTGGACACCACTCTTGATATTTATTGATTAAAAACTTGGGTTAGAATACCATTAACATTACAGAGAAATGCCCTCCATGTTTCTTCTTTCATTTCCTGTCAAAGAATTAGATTTTCAGAGTCAATGTGGGAAAAACACAGTAGGAAACCATCAAATCATTTAACATTTTACAGGATTATATATTACAAAAAACATTATAGTAACAAGGAATCTTGAATCTTAAACTTGTTAACCTAAAAGTTGTTTTGTGTGTTTTTCCTTTTTCCCCTAGGTACACAATGCTAATGATTTGCTTATCAAACCCTTGGAAAATTTCCGGAAGGAGCAAATAGGCTTCACCAAGGTACATTTTCTATTAATGTAGAAGATATTTTTATGGCAGCTGGGCATTTTGTCTAGCACTCTTCACTTCACAAGGGCATGATTGTTAATTTTATCTGTAAACTTGACTGGGCCACAGGAATCTCCAATAGTTGAATAAACCCCAAATATTGACCTTTTCCTTCCCTGGGTGTAGGGGAAGGAAAGTCACATTTTGCTCATTCTAAAATCCATTCTTTGAGACCCATGTTGGAATATATTCCAGTGGTTCTCAGGCTCTCAGCCCTTCAGATTTATACCACAGGATTTCCTTGTTCTCTAGCTTGTACAGCTGGCAGATCCTGGGACGACTTCTTCTTCTTTTTTTTGAGACAGTCTTACTTTGTTGCCCTTATAGCATGCCTTGGTGTCATAGCTCACAGTGACTTCTAACTCTTGGGCTCAAGCAATTATTTTGCCTCAGCCTCCCAAGTAGCTGGGACTACAAGTGCCTGCCTCAACAGTTGGCTATTTTTAGAAGTGGTTTCTGGCTCTGGCTCAGGCTGGTCTGGAATCTGTGAGCTTAGGCAATTCACCCACCTTGGCCTCCCAGAGTGCTGGGATTATAGGTGTGAGCCAATAATCCCTGGGACTTCTTAAATCTCCATAATCACATGAGCTAATGAAAGGACTTTTAAAAGTAATTTTGATGGGGGCTTATAAAAGATTTATAGAAAAAGTTTTCGTCAATATATAAAAATTATGTACAGAATGTTGGTGGAAATGTGGATTTCAAGGGTAATTCTGATGGGATCTTAGATGGAAGGGAGGACTATGTTATTGGACAATGGAGAAAAGATAATCCTTATTATAAAATGGCAATGAACTTGGTCAAATAATGTTCATGTTCTAGGGTTCTGTGGAAGGTAGAATTTGTGGGTAATAAAATTGGATATTTAAGGCTGGACATGGTGCTTCACACCTGTAATCCTAGTACTCTGGGAGACCAAGGTGGGTGGATTGTCTGAGCTCACGAGTTTGAGACCAGCCTGAGCCAGAGCTAGACTTCATCTCAAAAAAAAAAAAAAAAAAAAAGAGCCTGACGCCCGTAGTTCAAGCTACTTGGGAGGCTGAGGCAAGAGAATCACTTCAGCCCAAGAATTTGAGGTTGCTGTGAGCTGTGATGCTATAGCACTCTGCCAACAGTGGCAAAATGAGGCTGTCAAAAAAAAAAAAAAAAGGAAAGGAGGGAGGGAGGTGAGGAGATTTCTAAACCAGATACTGAAGGAGTAACTTGATATCTCCTTCTTTGCTTATACTAAAATGTAAGTAGAAAGAAACCAATTGAAGTGCTCGGCGCCTATAGCTCAACCGGCTAGGGCGACAGCCACGTACACCTAAGGTGGGGGGTTCGAATCCCCGGCCCGGACC